ACTCTTTTGTCAATTTATAAAAGATGTTAAACTGTCATATGAGTTTGGATCTAACATCGTTAAGAAAGTGGTAAATAATGATACTAATATTATTGAGCTAAAATCTCATAACTATGACATTCTTATGAAATGTTTGATGTTGTAACGTCCATGTTTTTTGCTTAACATTTCTTAGAAAGTCTTTCTTTACGTCGGTTGACAAATGTAAACTTCTTATTAATACTAGAAAGGTTACCCCCGCTACGCAGGGGCTAGAAGCTTTCAATATAGTTTCCGAATCGATAAATATGCAAGACGTAGAAAGTGCAAGGATGAAAAGCCCGAACTTAGCTCCGGACTGTTTTTTCATGTTTTAAGAAAAAACTTTAAAATGGCTTCTAACCCAGCGGTATCGGGTGTTGCCCTCCATTCTAGAGGTTGAGGGTTCAAGTCTAATTGGAGACATAGGTGAAAATAAGAGTAGTTTAGGAGTAGGGTAGATTTGTTGTTCCTATATATATATATATATATATATATATATATATATATATATATATATATATATATATATATATATATATATATATATATATATATATATATATATATATATATATATATATATATATTATGTGATGAAGTTTGGACGGTCATTAGTATATAATATTTTTATAAGTAGTTTATTTTAAAACTTAATAAATAAGATTAAATAAACGTTTAACAATATTATTTATGATAAATAATCTAAACGGAATTCGTAGTAATCGTGATTACAAAACCATGTACATGAAGAATACATAAATCTGAAATAATATGAAAATTATAATTTATCGATGTTTCACATTCAACCCGACACAACAATGTTTGTCATAAAAAAACGAGATCGGTTTCTTTTTAAGTGGTTCCGATTCACACATTAATCCGTAATATTTGTAACATGATTCTATAGAAAAATTTTCATTGCGGAGTGTTCCTTGAAAACAACAATTTCTTTTTATTAGAAATACTCAAGTAAAAACTTGTTGTAGATATACGACGCACATTAGTACACTTCCACATCACTCCTTTATATTGTCTAACATGAAACTGCAACAATTTTGTTTACGGGATGTTCTTTGAAGACGTAAGGCCGGATGGAGCGGGTGCGGGGAGCGGAAGCGGGGAGCTTCCCGCCCAGCTGAATACCGCACGGTCGGCGCGGGAAACGTAGAGGGGTGCCTCTCTCTCTCTCTCTCTCTCTCTCTCTCTCTTGCTGCGATTGGCTGGCCTTTTGTTTTTATTTTTTTTTTGTGTTGAAAAACAACAGTTGAATAACGGTAAAAAATGTATTTTTTTTGTTGTAACGGCTACTTTTTTTTTTTTAATCCTTTTACCACTACTATAAATATATACATATAACTTGAAAACATCACACTATCTTCTATTCTCTCTACTTTATATCAACAAAAAAAATGAATCCCAACAAGCAAACCCCAAGTTCCGATCGAAGGAAAAAAAAAAGTCATGGTTTGAGTATAAACATCCATCCTTGCAACATTTTTGCTATAGATTCATCCCCGCAAGGAGTTTACCACCCCTAACTCGATTTTCCCATTCAATCCCCATTACAATTTCAATACCAAAATGTTGGCCAATATTACCCGATGCAAGTTCCAAATGTTCTGTCGCAAATGTTTTCAAACTTTGTTGTGTTTCCGGATCAACAATCGCCAAATCAACCTCAACCCCAAACTCAAACTGAAACTCAAACTCAAACCCAACACCACTACCAACTTGTCGATGAATCGGATGGCGCGGAAGAAGAAGACATGGTTCCCGAAACTCAACCAACACCACCACCACAAAGACATAAAGGGAAAAAACAAGTGTCCGAGGGTGTCGCACAACCGGGAAGACAAAATCCGACAACATGGGTTCCACACGAAGAGCTAGTTTTGGTCAAAATTTTTGGTTTCGCATTTTAGAACGATTTTCGAGAGGAGCTAGGAAAATGTGACGACTACCATACGAAACATCAAATTAATTCAAAGTTTCGAGAAATAACAAAGGGGGTTTCAAAAATTAATGGGTTGTACAACAACCTAAAAAACCCAACGAAAAAGCGGCGAAGGTGACGAAGAAATACTTCAAGAAGCGTTACAGTTTTACTTGAGAAAGTCGGAAAAGCATTCAAGTGGCACGATTATTGGAAATTATTGGTCCGAAGTCCTAGGTGGAAAAAATACGAGCAGGATTTTATTTTTAGAGTCCAACAATCAAAGCGAACGAAAACGGGCTTTGGTGGTTACAGAACCTCCTCCGATGCTCGGGTCGGTCTAGATTTAAATCAAGATGACGAACTCGAGCTAGAAGAAATTGAACGCCCAATGGGTAGTGACAAAGCGAAGAGAAATGGAAAAGAGACTTCTTTAAGTGCATCTGATTTCAGCGTGGACATTGACGAAATGCGGAAGATAACATTGTCACTACAAGAATATGAGTCTACGGTGACAAAAGCTATAGGGACAACAAATGTCGTTGCCATAGAGGATCGTATAGGGACGACAAGTCGTCACTATATAGTTGACTAATTTAGTTTGACTTCCAAACCTATAGGGACGATAAATCGTTTCTGAAAAACTAAGCGGGAAGAAAAATGAATGGCGGGTATCCGAAAAAGATGTAGGGACGACGTATCGTCCCAAACTTAAATTAATTTAAATATATATATATATATATATATATATATATATATATATATATATATATATATATATATAATGCGTATATATAAGGAAAACTGGAACTACCCCGTTTTAATTGGCAAGTATAGGAAGGACTTATCGTCCCTATAGGGTTTCGCTGGATTGAAATCCCTTTTCCCAATCAGTCACCAGCAGTCTAGCACCCACAACACAAGTTTGTGAGCTGAGGCGAAATCGCCGTTTCCTGTAAGCCGATAGGGAAGATTCGATCGTCAATTGGCCACCGTTTCCCTCGTTAACTCCTTTAGCCTTTCACTATGATGTTTTCCCGATTCATTCTGTTTTCTTCTGAATTGCAGGTGGTCTCATTCCGGCGGTCTCCCTCTCATTCTGACGGTCTCCCTTCTTTCTGAAATCGGTTTTCTACTTCCTCCCAATAGGTATGTAAATTGCTAGTAATATTATTTCTATTATTCTAACTTCTAAGTCTGTTGGCAAGGACGTAGCAGCCCTAGTACCCTACCCCTTTGTTTGTTCCCAAATCTTTTGTATAATGCTAGTATTATATTGTTTAATTTAGTTTGTTTGGATCATGATAGCAGCCCACCTATTTATCTGTTTTGTTGAAATAATGAAAAGAGATAGTAACAATAAGTTTCCCTTTTAATATACTTCACAGATTAGCACATATCATGAGAAGGAAGCTTTGTTAATGGCCACATGTTTCTGACTTGATAGTCTTGATACTCAACTTTTATATATTGCTTACCAATCTAAGTCTGGTCAACCTAATGGTTGTTTTTATGTCAATATTATATTGAAATTAAGTTGTATTAACAAATTCAACCTCAAAAAAACACATCCATCAGGAACATTATCCATCTTTATTAATATGAATATTTCACATTTGGTGGCTATAAACAACAATCACATACAAGTAAAAGATAATGTGTGTTGGATGACCAAAAATTAACACAAAGATCTTCAACATTTCATACCACATTTGAGTTCAGTTATTCACTAAGACACACCTTTAAACAAATAACTTTGTTTGATAATAAAAGGACAAAAATGCCCCTTCCCAAATTTCCCCTGTTCAAAATTAAAGTTTTATTTTAACTAATTATGCTTTGTATGATACAAATATATGTTTTATAAAAAAAATACAATGGCTATTATAGAAAAAGAAAATTTTAATTGTTAAACCAAAAATAAAACAAAGTTTTTGTGGTTAATTGAAAGAAAAAAAAAAACATTTCGGTATACCCCTACAGGGGAAAAAAATTAGTTTCTTTGTTTCTTTTAGTTTGATTTATTTTTGCTTAGCAACCAATTCAAATATTACTTTAAGGCCCAAACATTTTAGTATATCCCTTACCAGGGGCAAAACAGACATATAAAGATTTTTTCTTTTTTAAAGACTTGTAAAAAAAAGTAATCCTATCAGGAGTATGCTAAGAGTAACAACTGCATGAGATTCCTTGTTTGATTTACTTCCAACAATTAACACAAAGATCTTTAACATTTCATACTACATTTGAGTTCAGTTATTCACTAAGACACACATTTAAACAAATAACTTTGTTTGATAATAAAAGGACAAAAATGTCCCTTCCCAAATTTCCCCTGTTCAAAATTACAGTTTTACTTTAGTTAATTATGCTTTCCCAAATTTCCCCTGTTCAAAATTACAGTTTTACTTTAGTTAATTATGCTTTGTATGACACGAATGTATGTTTTATAACATGGAGGACAATTCAAACATATCAGTCAGCAACATAGTAATAAAGAAAGTATTTCTTTTTGATGTAACGCAAAAAAACAATGACTTAATAAAGAAACTAAAAAAAAGTATTTCACATTAAATCACTTAATGGAGAAAAATAGGGTTGAAATCCAAAAAAACAAAATTCACAAAATTGATACATGTGCCATTTTAACAAAATAAAATAGAATATTGACCAAAATTTTCAAATAACTCAAACGTATATTTGCTTTATATATGGACTAAAATTTTGGAAATAATAATAGCATTATATATACGTGTGTTTTCATTCAAGAATATGCATCTGCGTTATCTATTGCTTAGGTGGCATTACAATAAATTGACAAGTGGAATATTAGATAAATAAAAAATCAAGAAAATGCCATATGTCCAATTGCATAAGAATTTGACAAGTGGCAAAAAGTTCTTTATTTATTTGCGGATATATATATATATATATATATATATATATATATATATATATATATATATATATATATGAAGAAGTAGAATGCTATAATAGATAAATGCTATAATATGCATACATTCTAATTTCTAATAATGAAACAGTTATGACTATTGATAATAGTTGGATTACGTTGCAAAATCGAAGGTGCCCAAACAACTTCATAGAGATCGCCAAGAACCATGTCGATGATGAAGGCAAAACATGTTGCCTGTGTATAGATTGTGTGAACATGTTTCGGCATATTGTGACTACGGTTTATGCCCACATACATGACCGTGGGTTTGAAGAATCATATCTTATATGGATTCATCATGGTGAGGAATATCCTCCTTCAGATTTAGACAACCTTTGGGCTTCAAAATATCGTAGTACTAGAGTTGTGGCAAAGGAAAATCCACATGAAGAGATGTTCAATGTAATAGATGACGTTATGGCAAAGGAAGATCCACATATAGAAAATATAAGCCAAGAAGAAACTGCTTTAGACCCAGGGTTTGATGCATTGTTTGAGGAAGCTAATACCGAGTTATACCCTGGTTGCAGTTGGATGTCTTCCTTAAACTTCCTAGCAAAACTGATGCACATTAAAGTCATCAACAGGTCGACAGATAGTTCATTTGACCAACTTTTAGAGTTTTTAAGAGTTGCATTCCCGAAAGAAAACAAGACTCCAACTTCACACTATGAAGCTAAAAAGAAGTTGAGAAAGATTGGGTTGGGATATCAATCTATCCATGCTTGCGTTAATGATTGTGCTCTGTTTTGGAAAGAGAACGAGTTAATGCAAAATTGTCCTATTTGTAAGGAGAGTAGGTGGGTTGACAAAAACACAAAGGGGAAGAAAGTGCCACAAAAAGTGTTACGTTTTTTCCTTTGACTGCCAGGCTTCGTTGAAGGTATAGTTCAAGATTCACAGCAAAAGATATGATTTGGCATAACACTGGTCCTTCAAATGATGGTAAGATGTATCATCCGGTTGATGGGAAAGCATGGCAGGAATTTGATAAGCGATATTCCGAGTTTGCCAAAGAACCTAGGAACGTTCGCCTGGGTTTGGCTGCCGATGCGTTTAATCCATTCAGCAACATGAATCAGCCTTATAGTATGTGGCCGGTAGTATTGACAACTTACAATACACCACCATGGTTGTGTATGAAAGAATCTTATTTCATGTTGACTTTGCTAATTCCTGGCCCTAAAGCACCTGCGAAGGACATTGATATTTTCATGAGGCCTTTGGTGGACGAGTTGAAAATGATATGGAGGGATGGAGTCCAAATGAGAGATGCATCAACCAATATTGTGTTCACAATGCATGCAACACTATTGTGGACTATCAATGATTACCCTGCCCGTAGCAGTTTGTCTGGATGGAGTGGTCAAGGTTATAAAGCTTGTGCTACTTGTAACAAAGACACACCCTCATGTTCTATAACCAGCAAGATAGCTTATGTTGGTCATAGACGATTCTTCCATAGCAAGCATAAATGGAGGGATAGTTTGTTGTTTAATGGCAAGAAAGAGTCAAGAAAGCCTCCTAGACGATTAAGTAATGCTTTAATAATAAAGCAACTAGACCGTCTCCCCGCTTGTATTCCAGGAAAACACCCAAGCTATGGTGGTGGTGTGAAAAGAAGGCGAACTGAGTCAGAGTTAAATTGGACCAAAAGGAGTATCTTCTTCGAGCTTGATTATTGGTGTTCACTCGATCTAAAACACAATATAGATGTTATGCACATGGTGAAAAATGTTACTGAGAGCTTGTTAGGTACTTCATTAAAGAATGAAAAGTCAAAAGATACGCACAAAGCAAGAGAAGATTTGGAAAAATGGGGCATTCGAGAGAATCTATGGCTGCAGAAGAGAAACAACAAGAATTATCCACCACATCCAGATTACTCTTTCAAACCAGTCAATCGAGAACGTTTTTGTCAGTTCATTAAAGGTGTAAGACTACCCGACGGTTTTGGATCAAACTTCAAGAATAAGGTACATTCTAATGATTGAAATATAACTGGGTTAAAGTCTCATGATTATCACATCCTCATGCAACGATTGCTACCCATAGGGCTCCGAGGTTGTCTTCCTGCTAACATGTCAAAAACAATCATTGACCTTTGCACATTCTTTAAAAAAAAAATTGTGCACGATCGTTAGATGTGAAAGACATGTATAAAGCACATAGTGAAGTGATAAAGATATTATGCAATCTGGAGTTGATATATCCACCAGAATTTTTCGACATAATGGTTCATCTAGTTCTACATTTACCAGAAGAAGCTATTCTTGGAGGGCCTGTATCTATGAGATGGATGTATCCTTTTGAAAGATACATGAAAAAGCTGAAATCTTATGTCAGAAACAAAGCCAAACCCGAAGGTTCAATAGCGGAAGGTTATATTGCAGATGAAGCATTGACATTTTGTTCCATGTATCTTGATGGTATACAAACGAAGTTCAATCGTCCCGATAGAAATACAGATGACGGCCTTCCAAAGATGCAATTTTCTGTGTTTTCATCACAATGTCGACCAATTTCCAAGATGAAAATCATTACTCTTTCTGAAGAGGCCAGCAAATCATTACAATGGTTTGTACTCAACAACTATGATGAACTTAAAGGTTACATATTGTAAGTAATTATTTATTTATACTTTCTACTTAGGTATTGTGAGAAACTAATATGAACCATTTCTCCCACCTACAGCGAATTTGAATCTAAATATCCCGAAAAAGATGTAAAAACGAAATTTCCCTCATGGTTCAGTCATAAGGTAAAAACATTATATACATATATTACATATAAATCTAAAATATATTATAATTTAAAGTGTCATTATTATATTTTTCTCCAAGTTTATCGTCTACAAAAAAAATTGTCCCTAGACTGTACCAACAAATTATAAGCTTTGGCACATGGTCTGTTGAATGCATATTCTTACACCGGTTGCATAGTCAATGGTGTTAGATATGTGGTACATAGTCGTGATCTCCGACATACTACTCAGAATAGTGGTAGTGTTTAATTTGGAGAAGATAGTACACCATTTTATGGTCAACTGGAGAATATCATACAATTAAACTATTTAAGTGATTATTCTGTTGTTCTGTTTCGTGGTAAATGGTTCAACACAATGGGGAGGGGACGATTAGTTAATGAAAATGGTATCATCTCTATCGACATCAGTCGTGAATGGTATGTTGGTAATTCATGCTATGATGGCCAACAATACATTTTAGCCAAACAAGCAAAACAAGTGTTTTATCTTAAAGATCCTTCACGAAACGCCAATAGTTGGAGGGTTGTAGAAGACGTTCACCATAGAAAATTGTGGGATCATCCAAGTATGGATGTAGATGTCTTGCATGACAATCAATCATCTGATTATAACTTGGATGTTGACATATGTGATTTTGGTGACTCAAGTGTGGTTCTTGAGAGATGTGATGCCCTTATTGTGGACCATCAAACCTTTCATTGTAACTTGGTTTCCGATTTAGGCTATTTGCCTATGCAAACAACTTTAGGTGAAGTTGGTGAATCAAGTGATGCTCCTATCATGGAGGATGAGAATTTCATTGATGATGATGAAGAACACATTGATTGCTACCCTTCAGAAGATGAAATTGTTGATGACAATAATGATAATGATGATGAGTCTATAGATGCATATTATTCCAGTGATGATTATGATTAAATGTATTATAATGTTTTTGTATCTTTAATAGATTGTTGTTACATATTAAAATTCTTATGTAAATGTTTTGTTTAAATTATGTTTATTATTTATTTCAACAGAATGTCAGTACATGTTGCTAGAGGACACCGTGGAGACGGTGGGGGTGAACCTCCAAGACAGCCGCATACGATCCCTAAAGCTTGTGACTCATGTAAGTAACTTGTTCTAAGTAAATATATCTTATGTCTTTATATTCAATAACTTTTTAACTTACTAACTATTTAATTACGTATATAAATGTAGCAAAACCAAAGAGAGGTTTTGGAAGAAATTTGAATTTGTATGAACAGTCTAGACTTAACAAGAAGAAGCCACTTCCCTTGGAGTTTGACATCACGACGAGACTATATAAGGTCGTTGGAGATAACCATCAAGTTTATATACGCTTGGTTTCGAATGAGGTTCAAAAGAATGTCCCCTTTCACTATCCGAGTTGGGATGATGTCCTTGAAGATTATAAAAGAAAAGTCTATCTCACCTTGCATGTAATTATAAAATTTAATGGTTTTATTAGTATTATAATTTTATATTTTTGAGATGTTTATAACCCTTTCATTTTCTTTTGTAGAATTATTTTGATATAGAGTCTTTTCGTGACACACCTCATTGGAATGGCATTGTGCAAGGAATTGATGCGGATTTCAAAGCAAGTTACAGGCGCCGCAAGTCGAAGGTGAAAAAGCATTTTCTGAGCGTCGGAGGCTACAATGATGTGGAAACGGCAATGAAACACCCACCCACCTAGAATGAATAAAAAAGCAGGGAGCAAAGTTATTAAAAAGTTATTCATGAGTGAGAAGTATCAAAACCGTTCTGTAAAAAATAAAGATAACAAGGGAAAATAGGTGTATGGAAGTTCTCATGGTGCTGAACCCTATGCCCAAAAGCGACATAAGGAAGTAAGATTTTTTTTAGTGTTATTTAAGGGTTTTGTCAACATTTTATATGAAATATTAGTAATAGTTTTTGTGGTTTTTTGTAGAAAAAAGAAACTGTAATGCAAAACCACATTGATGGATGGAAAAAAAGTTACTTTAAGGAAGGAAATGGATGGTGTCACCCACAGGCGCAACACGATTGGGTAAGTAAAAGTGGTATTTACATATTTTTATTACGATGTTATTTTGTGTAAATTATTCATATGGAATTTAGAGTAAATTGTTTATATTGTTATTTAAAATGGATTGCGTATATTACAAGTGGATTTATTCAAATTTTGGAATTGTTATTCTTATTATTTATATACTTTGAACATGTCGGGTTTTTTTCTTTTTCTAATTGTTATGCTGCCAAATTTTAGAAAAAAAAACTAATAAATGTTTATTGTAGGGTAAAATTATGCAAGAGTATAGGAAAATGTTGGAAGAGGTTGATGGTGATGATTCATTGGTTGATCAGACAGAATGCCTCAAGCGTGCACTTGGAGAAAGAAGCAGTCATACAAGAGGTGTTGGAAGAAAAGTGAATAATGTAGCACCATATTATGGGCCAAGTACATCAACCAATACCCAAAACTTCAATGCATTTGCTTAAGAGTTGACTCAACAAATGAGTCAACAATTTACTGAACAAATGCATCAAATGTTCTTGTCTCAAAATCCAAACGCCCAACCACCACAATTTCAATTTACTTTTGATCCTTCTCGCCTACAAGTTCCAAATGGTCATGATGTCAATGAAGAAGATGAAGAAAGTCAAGGATATGAAAATGAAGATGATGAAATGGAAGAAGGTGATCAAAATGAAGAATGGGAAAATAGTTCTAGTGGACCTGATAATTAGGTTGTTTGTTTTAGGTTGGTTTGTATGAAACATTTAAAAAAAATCATATTTAGCTCTTCATTTTTGGTAAACCAAGCATGTAAGATATTTTAAAAGTTTGGATGGTATCATATTTTGGAAAGATTTAGATTTAAATTAACTGTTTTTGGTTTTATTTTATATGAATATTTTATTGTATAGAAATTTGGAAATATAAACAAGGAGGTAAAAAAATTGTAAAACCTGTGGAACAGTTATAGAGGTGATTTATCATCGCTATAGGTGTACTTACAACAACAAGATGTCGTCGCTATAGATGGGGATATGGCAACAATATCTCGTGGCAATATGAGTCACTATAGCAACTATTTATCATGTCTATTGGTTGCTATATAGGAACGATCTGTCGTCACTATAAGGGGGGCTACATCGACAAACACTATGGCAACGACATAACAACCTAAAGCGACGAACCTACAACAACAAACTCTATGGCGACGACAAGTCGTCGCTGAGGTCTATAGCGACGACTTTCCGGTCTGTAGAGATGATTTTTGTCGTCTCCATAGGTTAGAAATGTTGTAGTGTGTCGTTTGATCAATATAATCTAAATTTACTCCGAACGTTTGACTTTCGACAAAAAAAAAAAAAAGAATGAAAAATAAGCGGGCGGAGAGACAAGAAATGAAAGACAAAGTTTTTTTATGGAAAACATCGATCATCTTTCGGGACCGGCTCTCTAGCTCGTAATGAAGAAGAGGGAAAAAATTCTGAAAAAAATATTTTCCGTAGGTCGTTGTTAGTTTGTTTGATTTTTAGTTTGTGTGTGTGTGTTTTTTTTTTTTAATTTTCTATTTTTTTTTATATTTTAGGTTTAATGTAAGTTTTATTTTAATTAATGAAATACTTATTATTTTTAATTAAGTTTTATGTTTAGTATTAATTTAAAAATTATAACTCATAACAAAAAAATTAATTTTATTTAATAAAAAGAATGAGGGAAAGACTTCCTACCCATTCCTTGGCTTTTAGGTGAGGAAAGGAGAGTAGGGTAAAGAGGGGTATGGCTCACCAAAAGTGAAAGGAGCTTCTCTCCCACTCCTTCCCGTCTAACATTTTTTTTATTAGAAACTTTCGAGTTTAAACTACTTATTTGATTCGTAGAATAATTTTGTCATTAGAAGTTCACAAAATTTCCTTATTTCGCCATAATATTAAACAATTAGTCGAACGATTGTGTATTTTGACCCTTCTCGCCTATTTAGTTTTTTAAGACAAACTCATTAATATCTTGTTTTTTGTTGATTTTTCCGTTTCCTGCATTATTTTTTAAATACTCATAGAAGTTGATAACACTTTTTTTTTTCTTGAAAACTATCACCAGTTTTTCCATATGGCCGACTCAATGTGTCCATACTAGTTAATGATAAAGAAATAATTTAAAGGGGGTTACAGCTCCGGGTTCTTATCATGGAAAATTTATGTGAATCCAAAGAAATGGAGGCATGATCATCATCTTAATAAATAAATTGTGGGTAGGAATTGTTTCAAATATTATAATGGAACTACAAAATATATAGTGGGTACGAGTTATTACATCCATTCACTAGTCTCTTTTGAATAAAAGAACTAAGAAAACCCACTTTAGACATGAACCAAGTAGGGCACTTAAAAGTCTATATTAAACAACTACTACAAGTCTACAACTTTTTTTTGGGTTTAAACAGTAAGTGAAAATAAACTCTAAATCCTAACCGTCTAAATTTAGTTGATATCTAACATATTAAAAGCTATGTAGACTGGTTAGTTTTTTTCTTCATTTACTGAAGTACACCGAAAATTGGGGTTCTTTTAAATATATAATTCAAAACTGTCCGTGGTTGGATTTTTCGATTTTGGTATTTGGTTTTGGTTTTTCTCTAGATGGGTGGAGATAATTCTTCTAGGTGATCGCAATATTTGAATACAAGATCTCTCGTGATCTGATCTTTATCTTTTTCGAAACCTTGTATGTTTATTATTTTGCAGGATTTATCAGATAAACATAATAGTAATTAAAGATTTCGAGATCCTCAAACCATATTTAATTTGCACTAGATATTCAATCACAAGTGCTAGTTGGGGTCGGTTGATTTTGTGACTATTATAATAGATTTTGGGTTACCGCCAACTATATATATGGACAGACCACAACATCATTCTTAGACACCAAAGAACATAAACACATTCCAAACATACACAAATGGATGCACTAAAAGCACTTCACTGTGAATTGATGATTATGAATGCTAAAAACATCCAAGTTACCAACTCCAGTGGTTACTTGTTTGTTAGATGTTATCTTTCAGCTGGAAACAACAAAAGGGTTCGTTTAGATAGCCAAGAAGTATCTCCAAACAAAGAAGTTTCTATGGACGAATCATTCTCCTTGGACTGCATCGGGACAAATCAATCAATGGAGATGATCATTCACGGAACAATTGTCTTGGAGCTTCGTTGGAGGAGTAATACAGCAGCCATGTTTAGAGGGTCGCAACTAGTTGGAAGAACTGAACTGTCATGGAGAGATGTTTTTGAGTCGCCAAACATGCAGATAGAGAGATGGGTGATGATGAAATCCAAGAAAAAAGACACGAAAGCACCTTCTCTTCGTATAGCTATGAAGATTGAAACACCTTTTGGTTGTGGAGTAGATTTGATAGAAAGGAAGAGAAAGAACAAATGGGATGAAAGATGTGTGTGCTGCCATGCTGATTGCAGTCAGAATACATGTCTTGATGGTGAGCTTTTTGCCATAGGAGCTGCTTTGGATGCTTTCTAGAGAGATGTCTTGTTAGTATATTTGTAATTGGAGTAGATGTTTATTTCTTCATTTTTTGCTTCGGCTGCGTGAAAATCACCAGACAAATTTTTGTAGTGAATTGAAAATAGATCCCGCAATCATTTGATTTAAACTTTTATTGCTTGTTTATTAATGCATTTCTTAGTGATCTTGATCGTATAAGCATCACAGTTGAGCATCCAGATTGATCAAATTTCAAATACATTGTTTCGAATAAAGTATAGTTAAGCTGCTATCACTCATGTCTCAGTTGAGGCTTTTTAATAAGTTATACACACGATTTAAATAACGAGATATTAATATTTGAATAAAATTATGCCCACTATGTAAATCACTTAGATGATCATATGGTTATTTATTAGCGTTCGATAGATCTATCAGAATCTATACCATAATATGAAACTGGAGTGGACTCTTTTTAATCATTTATTGAGTTAACTTTTTGGATAACTTTGTATTTTTGGTTGTAAAATATTATTGTTTAAAGTTACTTATGCTCATAAAATACGATTTTTATAATAGTTTTAATAGTAGTTTATGAAGAAAAAAAAACATGTTATATTATATAGCAATTAAAAAAAAAAATCATCACACATTTGTTATAACAAAATTTTTTTTTTTTTTTTACTCCGAGCCAATTGGACCGAAGTAGTAAAATTTTAAAGACAATACAATGGAACTTATAACTGTTATATGCCTTGTTTTAAACCTTTTGGGTTTATTGTTTAAATATCTAATTGGTATGAATTCTAGTTTTGTTCGTGAATTTAAAAAAAAAAAACGTCAGGATCATTTATTTATTTATTCTATTAACAACAAGATTATATTGAAAAACTATCACTACAAGAATTCTTGACATTATCGGCGACATGGAGTCGCCGCTATTACCCTTTTGTCGCCGCTAATACACTTGCGTCGCCGCTATTGATTGTCGTCGTTAATACTCGTGTAGATAACCCCTTTCCAGTTCCCTTTTTCGCGACTTTTTCTTCTGCTGTTTCTTTCCTTCTCTCGCTCGTTTCTTGGTTGCTGCTTCACATTTTCATCAGTTCACAAGTCGATTGAGTAGAGGACGAAGATTTAAGCCGATACTAGCCCCTCCTTCCACCACAATACCTCCACAACTTCCGCCAAAACCGGCGACCCTTGAGCTCAATTCAGAAATTGCCCATATTCAAGGTCAAATTGCTCCTATTTCTTATTATTTTCCTATTTTGGATGATAAATTGGTGCTATATGTCGGAAATTGCATCTTGAATTGTTCTTATATCACTCACAAACACAAGACCATTCGTATTTTTTTTGTTGCTTCTTATATGCACATGAATATATAAATTGATGCTATATATATATATATATATATATATATATATATATATATATATATATGTGTGTGTGTGTGTGTGTGTGTGTGTGTGTGTGTTAGAAATTGCGTATTGTATTGTTATTAGATCACCCATAAACAAGACCATTCGTATTTTTTTTTTGCTCCTCTGCCTGAACGATCGATGAAGGAGATTGGTATAATGAAAAGTAGAATGGTATAATGATATGTTGATATTTTGTAGAATGATATAATTATAATGCTATTATCATATGTTGCTAATATATTTTGTTTTCTTTGTAGTTGGAAATGCTGCAAACAATACTAAAGGACCCAGCCTCTTCTGTAGCATTGGAAGAGTGGTTTCGCTCATTACCGCCACCAAATAATGAAAGAAATGATGAGGACGAATAGTTACATTAAAATTTTAATTATGAAATGTTTTGTAATTTGGAAGAATATTTTAGAATGTAGTATAGATTAATATTTTGTATTGGTTGTGTATGAATTAATATTTTAAATTGGTTGTCTATGGATTAATATTTCTATAAAAAGTTATCAGATTTTATAAATGTTATATTATTTTTTTTCTAAATTTAATGTTAAATAAATAAATAAATAAAAACCAAAACTGTTTTTGCGGCAACATATTTTGTGGCGATGTACATGTATTAGCGGCGACCAGCAATACTAGCGGTGACATATCATTAGCGGCGACTTTGAACCTTTAGCGGCGACTAAAGGTGTATTTGCGACAAAAACATTACCGGCGATGCATTTGCTACAATTTGTCGCCGCTAAAGGTATTATCGGTGACTTTCCGATCCTTTTGCGACGACAGGCGTCCCCGCAGTT